TCTGCATATGTGGTTCGTTCTCTACACATTATCTCAACATTGACTCGGGCTCAATTTTTACATCCCTTTGTAGCTGATTTTGCATAGTGATATTCCATTGCCTCTGCTCCTGTCCTTAAAGAAAATTGTACTGGCATCTAATGTATTCATTCTTGACCTTGAAACAGATAAAAACCCTTCTCTCTGTGCAAACCTTCCTAGATTGCCTCAATCACTTCCTGAATCTCTAGAAGCTCTTAAGAAAGACAGTGTGTTGGAGGATCTTATTGGGGAAAAGCTTTTGGCTGCTATAAAAGGAGTTCGCAAGGTATGTCCGCAAAGATCATTTTGAATGATGATGCTGAACCTACTCACTAAGAATCTGAATAAAATATAAGAATTTCTTATTTCTCAAGCTCAATTTGGCATGGAAATCCTGGAAGCCTACTTTATCAGCTAAGTCTTAAATGGGGGTTCAAGCCCTTGATCCATCATGGGCTAATTCTTACAGCTGCACTAGTTTTTCCCTTAATTGAGTTGTCCAGGAAGTGCATGCTTAAATTTCCCTTAATTGAGTTGTCCAGGAAGTGCATGCTTAAATGAAGCCTTCAGTTTTGGTTTGCTTGTAACAGTTTCAACCAAATGTTGGTGATACTGTCATAATATTGGATTTATCAGCTAGAATAATGGTATGTATGAGCAGTAGACCATTACAGGTCCTGTTTTGGTTTAACAAATAGTAATATGCAAGGACATAAAATCAGTGAGGATCTGCTATGGTATAGATGGACGATGTTGGGTTTACTTGTTAAACCAAGGACATCGAGGAAGGATTTCAGTTGCCCTGGGCGTCTAAAAACTCTTCTATTTCAAATTTATTTTAACAATTACGTAGAAATGGTCCTAGAAGTTGCTTTGAAACAAAATAAGTGCTGGCTTGCACCTAGTGATCGAGAAAGCTGTTCACAATAATGCTTTGGACCCTCCAAGCTGCACGGTGCAATAAAGGAGAGGCTGCTCTGACATCTTCTTAAATTCCTGCATGATGCAAGTTCTCATGGTTTTATGTGAATTCTTTGCAGGCGGAGATTGACTATTACTCCCAGAACAAGGAAGCATACAAGCAATTGATACACCGTTATTAGGCAGGCCATTCGTCGCAGATTGGAGGGAAAATAATGGTTTAGCAAACCAATGCAGAATTTTCTATTCTATTTGTTTGAATCCGCACCATAATCTATATGGGACATGAATGAAGACGATGATTAAACTAGTTTTTAGCAAACCAATGCAGAATTTTCTATTCTATTTGTTTGAATCCGCACCATAATCTATATGGGACATGAATGAAGACGATGATTAAACTAGTTTTTATATATAAATAAAATAAATATACACTGCAGTAAGTTTAAATAGTATTAATAATATGAGAGCACACATCTTATTAAAATCTCATGAAAATTAATGTTATGATGTAAATAGTTTAGTATTTTTTCTTCGAGTTTGTTTTGATTACTGGCATTTGTTCATGTTAGTATTTAAGAAAAGTTGAGATGAGAAAAACTTGTAAGAAAGAATGGGAGCACGGTAGGAGTTTATCATTTCAAAACTATATGTGTTTTTTAAAATATTTATTTTTTTATATTTTTTTGTTTTTATATTATTTTAATATAATAATGTTAAAAATAAATTAAAAATTAAAAAATATATCTTTTCATTGTATTTTTAAATATAAAAATATTTTGAAACAGAATCAATATTTAAATATCAAAATATAAAAATAGCAGCAGATCATCATATCAAAATTTACATTTTTAATATCAGGAAAGTGCAATGTTTTCTCCGTCGCAACAAGTTTTGTAGGAATTCTTTTAAAAGAGGTCGTGCGGTGTCCCAAAAATAAATCCAACTGTTGATGCTAGGCCCAAGCGACCTCCACTTCACGCTATTCTAGCCAAGCCCAAACAGAATGTCCTCCATGTCGTTCAGGCCAGCCCAGATGCCTTGCCTTGAAAGCCCAAACAGGCAGAAAAATAAACGAAATGTGCCCTCCCAAGATAATGAACATTTTACTTAGTCAACATGTAGATTCAATGGCCGGAGTCGGAGCAAGGAGATCCCAGGGTGGAAGAACGAGAGAGGAATGGGGGCACAAAAGTCAAAGCAGGAGAGAGAAAAAGAAAGAAAAAAAATAGAGAAGAGAATATAACATTAAAAACATGCTATAGCGACATTGATAACATTTTTTAGATATATATCTTAATGAAAACAAATTTATAGACACGATGAAAAGTTAATTTTGAAGCTAATGATTAGTTACACTCTTCGTCGTTTAAAGACAATGACAAGTGAGCGCCATAAATTAATTATAATCATAAATATTGTTATCAATAATAAGCATGACACTCATCTTTTTTTTTTTTTTTCATGAAGTAATTTCAAGTGATTGAGCATATAAATACACTCAATCATCAGGTAAGACAAATAATGATGGGTTTAAAAATAGGTAGTACAGTATCATATCTTGATTGGCTTACCAATTATCATTATGGTACCATTTTTTTCAATTAATTGTAATCTCTTTCTAGCATGTTTTCTTAAATGGAACTTCCTCCCTTATTATTAGCAAGCGAGCACCATAAGCCAGTAGTAACCATCAATATCTTTATTAATGACAAACATGACATAATTGTTATCGTGATGCTGACTTCTGAAGAGAATAGCGGTCCAGTTGACATCGGTTGTGATTACAGGACAATAAGCAAGATTTTATATTGCCTTTGCTATCCACAAAGCTTGCTTATCCCTTTTCTTTATGTTCTTCAATCTCTCCATGAATTCCACTATTTTTATCCTCCTTTTCCCATTATCATCACAACATCATCGATACTTCTAGTATATTACTATTTCGCTTCTGCTCCCACCAATTTCCATACAGTTGCAGCTTCTCCTGAATTCTTAACCACATATAAACTAGACTTGGTACAGTGCTGTCATGAGTAAACGCCTCCTTTTCAGCGCAGATACGTGATGGGAGACATCAAGAGCGATTCAGAACTATAAACTGAGCGATAGTTGATAGAACATAACGAATAGTATGCTCTCCACATTTCTGACACCATCTCACTCCAAAACATGGGTCTAACAAACTCAAATGAATATACCTTACAGAATTTAGGATGAGATGTGATGCAGAGAATCACTTTGCAGTAGTTGTGGAAATCCAGACAGTTCCTAAACCACAAATCACAATGCCTTCGACTCCAGACAAAATATTTGTCTGGAAAATTCCGATTAAACAAGTGAGATGATCATTACATTTAAGCAAAGCATTTTTCTATGGAAAAAAGGATAAAATAATTTTTAAATACTGTGCGATTATCTCATACCTCATTCAAAACTCAAATTTCCGTTATCAAACAATCATTTTACATATACTACATGATAATAAAGACACCAAAACTACCTGTTGCTAACTTGAAGCATCCTTCGTCTTTGCCTCACCAGCAATGAATTTCTTTTCAACTTATGCATAAAGGCTTTGATAAAGTACCAAGCAGCAAGTTTGGAATATGGATGTGGTCCTTTCTCAGGCATTAGACTTGTAATGTTTACTGATTAACCATTTGCTGACTCGTAACTATTCAATTTCTAGGACATAGTGCTGGTGTTGCTCAAAATCCTGTCAAAGCGTGCATGTCACTTGATGTTTTCTTTTTTTTCTTTCTCCGTTTTTCTTCTCTTGTATCAGTCCTTGCTTCCAGACGTTTTGACTGCTGTAAGCGGATTTCTAGCAACTTTGCTTTTGCATCTCTAAAGAGTGCATCTGATCTTGAAGCCATCAATTCCTGATACATTGAATTGACAAACAAAAGTTTTAGGCAAAACAAAGAATTGCTTTTTTTCAATCACAATTGCCAGAAGTTAAAACTAATTCACACCTTGAGATGATCCATCGCAGCAAGATTGAAACCCAGAGTATCTTTGCATTCCTGAGACAAGCTCAAATGAGATATTGTTAATACAGGACCATATATTTCTCATGTTCTCACAAAACAGAAAAAGGAAAACACTGTCATAAGCATTTAAAAACTATAAAAAAATTTCTGTTCCCAGATATTGTTCAAAGGAAAAAACCAACGAGACATTTTGTCAAGAACATCATTGAGAAAGTCCAGCATAACTAGATGAAAGTTCAGATAGAATCATGTCACGGGCTGAATGTCACTATCCAATCCAAGAAATACTAAGATAAGAGACCTAACAAGGACTCTAAAAGCTGACTTGTATGACTACCTTGACTCTTTCATAAAGAATGTCTTTGAGAAGAGTCAACACCGGTCTTGCAGCTGGGGTTGTAACCAACTGATTGTAATGTGTCTGCAATAGCACAGTAGCAAGCCTGCAAACAAGCTCAACCTGGAAAGTGGTGTTAAAAATGATTATCAACAACTATTTGATGGCAACAAAAAAGAAAAAAAGCACACCCTTGCACGCGCAAAGCAATGGACATGCATGCCTCATAGTTAGAACCTGATCTCCAGATGAATTGATGTAGTGATCCCTATTAAAAGCTATGAATAATGGCCAGTTGTTAATCTCCATGCTGATGTTTAATTACAGAAACTAAAAAGATCACAACATTCCACATACCATTTAATAAATGTAAACAAAACCGTCTAAATTCAACCACTTCTGTATGTAAGACTGGAAGTCTATTAGTACCAACCTTATCAGGATTTGAGGTCCAATCCTTACAGTAAGACAGAAGCTTCAAGCCATCTGAGAATGGCAAAGCCTGCACAGAAATCATTTGCCGTTAGACTTCAAGAAAATAATCTGAATCATAAACCTCCTAATCACATGTGCACGAGCTTATAGCATAATCAATTGCCAGAGAGAGAGCAAAAATGATAGGTTTTTTAGCCCAGTTTTGAAAGGCATTTTAATTTTAAAGGAACAAAGAAGGTGCATGCAGCAGCGACATTAAAAAAAAAAAAAAAGATTCATCATTTTGCATTGTTGTTTCCACAACAGCTATTTGTTTGGATGATATCCCAGTCTGTCTAGAACAAAATTTGGCTGTGCGTGCATGTGAGTGTGATAGAGAGAATTTCAAAGGTCCAAGTGCAGGTGAAATTACTAAAATGAGAAGAGGTGGTATGACAGCAAGGACAATCACACATGTTCCAAATACCAGGTTACAGTATGCACCCTTAGGAGGTTGGATTAGGTAATGCTAGGACAGCTGATGTTGCAAATTTGTCCAGCTTAAGTTGCCTGTGAAGGATCACAGTAGGACCTGAATAAATTACTAAAATGAATAAATTTGGCTGTGCGCACATGTGAGTGTGATAGAGAGAATTTTAAAGGTCCAAGTGTAGGTGAGATTACTAAAATGAGAAGAGGTGGTATGACAGCAATGACAATCACACATGTTCCAAATACCAGGTTACAGTATGCACCCTTAGGAGGTTGGATTAGGTAATGCTAGGACAGCTGATGTTGCAAATTTGTCCAGCTTAAGTTGCCTGTGAAGGATCACAGTAGGACCTGAATAAATTGTTATATTCTGCATAATTTCTGTGCTAGACAGTGGCAGAAAATGAATTTAATGAGCAGTGATCTGGAACTTAATTAATACTGGAACATGGAATCTATAAACTTATTGAAGTTTCACATAGAGTGATGGATGGACTTGTAAAATTTCTTAGCCATGGCAATTTACCCCGACAAAGTCTTTGTATAAAGTAACAGATATTTACCACATAGATAGAAAGGACCTATTTCACCTACATTTTCACATGTAAATGGAGAACATAGTACTCCTCTATGAGAATATTGTGTGATGCTAAAGTACCAGTAATGTCTGCTCCAGATCATTGGTGTGAACATTTGTGAAAGCATGGAGAACATAATTAGATGGCGAGAGCCCACGCATGATAACATTTGGTTGGTATTCTGTAACATTTCCCTTGGTGTTCTCCTCCTGAAAAAAATACGTAGGCAAATAGCTTTCAATAACAATCATGTTTCAACACAAGCAAGCTTAGCCTAGAGGTTGTTCACTCGGTAGCTTCCTTCAGTGAAGCAAGCAAGGTTCCAGTTTACATTATAATAATGTAATGGGGAGGGCTGCCCCCCATTGGGTAGCCCAGGGCCTCCCAATGGACCTAAAAATAATAATCATGTTTCAGGCCTCTGTAATTTTTAATCACTTCCGCTCAACCACGTACAACTTAGTGTCCATGACCAAAGTGTCCAAACATCCGACTCAACTAAAATTCCAGTGTGTCTTTCGATCCTAATGCTCAACTCGTTCTAGAATAAACTGTGATATGAAGAAGATGGGGAAAAACATCAAGAACATGCAAATAAAACTCAAAATAGTTTGCTGAAACTCGAGGTTTAGCACTCCAAGACTACCTTGTTTGACAATCATCAATTCACCAGAAAATCTACACCTCCCATTCACTTACCTCTCTTTCTTATTTGTTTGTTTGTTTCTTCTTTTACCTATAAGTTTGCTGAGACTCACGAATTGCTACTCAAGGACTAGCTTGGTTGACAATCATCATTAACTAGTAAATATACGCTTGCTGCTCACTTTTCTCCTCGTTATTTTTCTTTTCAGTATACAAATAGCTAACAGAATCAGGTAAAAGGGGGCAGAAAGGGAGTTTTATTGTAATCAAATAGTGAAGAAAAACATACCTGATGTTCAGCAATACGCTTCAATTCTACCTCTGCTACATCTAAAGCATCAAGAATTAAGTCAGTTGCAGAAAGGGTTTCTTGTGTTTTCTTCCCTGCCAAGGCAACAGCTCCCTCCTCTGGAAGTTCTTCTCTAGGCACATGCTTGTTTTCAAATGCATTCTCAATGTCAGCTTCAAACATTTCTTCCAACCTTTTCTCTTTCTCCTCCTGCAAATCCAATAATGCAGTATGTTAGTTGAAAACCAATCTCAGCCATTATTTGCACCAAAGGTACATTAGGTGAACATTAACTACCAAACTTGAAAAACAACAATAAGAAAGCACCTCAATGAAAAAAGGCTCCTCAGTACGATCCCAGCGACGTAGTGATCGATCATGGGATCCTGTAACAAGAAAATCACCACGACTACTGATTGCAAGACCCCAAACATCTGCATGATGTCCCTCAAGGGTTAAAAGAAGCTCAAATTTATCAGCATCCCAGTATTTTACAAGCCGATCTTTTCCAACGCTAAACATATAATGGGTATTCCGCACAAATTGCACTGCCATGACACTAAAACAGAAATAGCTCATTAGAATTACTCTTAAGCCCTCATCCATGCAATAAGAAATTAAAGGGAAAAAATTTCTTCATGTGCCTTCAGAAAAAGTAAGCAGCACCTATCAGCATGAGCAAAAAGGGATTTGTGGCAGTCACCAAAATCCAAACCCCAAATCTTCAAGTTTTTGTCTGCGGATCCAGTAACAATCAAATCTCCATCTGATGAAACATCCATACATAGCACAGGCAGCTTGTGACCATATAATGAAAGGAAAAATTTGAACGAATCCAAGAAGAAAACCTGAATACCATTGTATAACTGTGTTAAAAGACTTGAAACAATAAGAAGCTCAAAGAAATATTGAATATATTATTTCAACTATACAAGATCCACCTAAAATGAAGGGACTACGGTAACAAAAACTTTTATCAGCTATGCAATCTCATCAAGGGATTCAGAAATTAAGAGCCTCATATCAATAAGCACCCATCATAAAATCAGTAATGAGAATCACCGCTCAATTGGCCAATTAATTTCCAGTGCTTTATACCAATTACTTTAATTCTGAGCCAACAACAGGACACCTTTTATTGAAATTCATAATGGTCAGTAGCGCTCACATCCTTCAATTGAACCTCCCATCCTAGTTCTCTTGGAAACACACCAGGTGACTTTAAGAGATGTCTAACTGTCACTCACAGCACTCCATCTTTGCTGCTTTGTAATGCACAATGTTCAATCATATATCAGAGTTAATAGCTCACTTTAGAGAATCAATGAATGTGATCAATGTATAACCTAGCATCTCTCCCTCTCAATCATCTTGACTCCAAACTAGCATCTGCTCCCTTTCTGTTCATTTTTACATGATATGATTATCAATGGTGGCCCAAGTGAGACGAATAGGTTTTAATGACTTTTAACTTGCAGTAAGGAAAACACAGTTGCAGGAGTTAGCAAAGAAGCCTCAATTTAGTAATCAAGTTATTTGAAAGGGACCCACCAAAGAATCAAAATCCCATTCCATGGTCACAGATAAAGTTTTATTGGCCTCTGCTTGCAGTCTTAATCCATTAAAATACAATTTTATGTATTTACCTTCCACTAGGGCATTTCACAAATTTCTTTGATGGGTTCTAATAGACAAGAAAGAGTTAAATATTTGCATCATGTCAATTTAACAGAATCCAATTATGTGAGGGAAAATAGAATTGACAAGATGGCGCTAAGTATTTTAGGTGGATATTAATACAGGTATCAAATACACTTTGTTCGTCTAGATGCCATCAACCTAAGCTTCATATTACTAGACAAAATATTATAATGAAATGTCAAAACTGAAAGAATATTCAGAAAATCAATTTAGTTGACAAATGTAAAATAGTGGGTTGAAGGGGTAGATCAAATATAAGTGAAAAAAAGAAATCTACCATAGCATGTTTTTTCAAAGAGCAAAGATGATTAGGCAATGACCTTAGATAACCTAGCAAGATCTTAAGGAAGATATTCATCCACTAAACTAACTGACATGAAAAAAATCAAGTTCAAATCATATAGCATCAGAAAAGACAACTTGACCTTGACTGTACAATCCAACAGTGCAACGGCAATATATTTAGCATCAGGGCTAACTACAACCACGAGAACATCATCATTCATCTTCATAGACCTTGCATTTGACAAAACAAGGTTCTTCGAGTCCTGCAAATTAAACAGAAATAATCTTGCCTCAATAACACAATAACTATGGAAGCTGAATTACTCAGGTTGAAAATCATAAAAACATGCTAGCTACCTAAAACTTAAAAAATAGGCTAGAAAGACAGTTTCTCAAATAATAACGCTAAAGATATGAATATTTTTACTAACATATTCACGTGGCTTCTTATGTGGTAAGCAACACATTACATATGCTAAGTCCTGCAACACTTCCAACTAAAACAAAATTGCCTATGATAAATGCAACATTTGTTCAAATGGACACTATGGTTTGCACCATATTATGCTCCAAAAGAAAGCATGATAACGTTTACATGCAAAGAATTTTCAATAGGAAAAATGCTGGAAAACAGTAAATAATTGTATAACACAAACATAAATAACAGGAACAGAATAGAAGGCCATACCTGACCAGGTTTCTGTTTGATTTGATACTCCCAGAACTTAACATCATGATCAGCGCTGCCTGTGACAAAACCATTTTCATTTGGAAGAGCAGCAATAGACCGTACAGGCCCACCATGAGCTTCCAATGTGTCAATGCAAGTGCCGCTACCAATGTCAATTACCTCTATCTTTCCACTTTTAGTTCCAACAAAAGCATACTTGTTCTGTGGGATGATTAAACCACACAGTCCATAATCAGAATCAATGGTCCTAAGGCAAGAACCAGTACTTGGATTCCAAATCTTTACAGCATTGTGACTGGTTGACATCAAAAGAGTATTGTCTGAACTGAGTGTAACACTTCTGACATCAGAACGGTGCCCTTGTAGCTCAATTGCTAGAGTTTTTGTGTTTGTGCTGCTTTCAATGGAGTAAAATTCCAATAGATTATTATTCAAAGACAAAGCTAAAGTAGCCAAGGAGTTCTTTGGAGTAATTGGACTAAATGAAATGGAACAGATCTTTTTGCCAGCTCGAACAGTTTGAAGATGTTTAAAAACATCAGAAACGGTAACTGTGGGGGTATTTCCATCTTCGAATGCATGTTTTGTATCCTCTTTAGATTCAGTTGTCCCAAGTTCCCCCTTGGCAGATTTCTTCTCTTTCTTCCTATGAAGCCTGCGTTTAGCTTTACGGCTAGCTACTACATCTCCTAGTACATGGAATATGTCCACAGTCTTCCCAGCCACTTGACAAGCCAGTAAACTTCCAGACTTGTCGAATCTCACAGTTGCGACTCTATCTTTGCTTTGCCTCTTAATCTCACCAAACAACTTCAGGACTTCCCATTTATTTTGAGTGGGCATATCTCCACTGTTCACAATTACAGCTCCTTTTTCATTGGATATGGCTTGTGTGTTTTCTGAGTCATGCTTGATTGTATAAAATCGAATTTCTGGATCTGCTGAACCAGTGACTAAGTATCTCTCCTCTGGGTCAGCATCCATTGCCCAAATTTCACTGTGGTGTCCACTAATTATTTGCATGCAGTGCTGTGTTTCTAGATCCCATACTCTCAAAAATTTGTCTTTTGAAGAACTAACAAGTTTTTTAGTGGACTCCAAGAAAACAAGGTCAGTAACCTGAAAAATGAAAATGACACAGATGGAGATGAACTTTATGCCAAACAATTATAAACAAGAAAACCAAGTGACGGAAATGATATTCCCCCCGCTAAAATGAAAGGCTGTAGAAACAAACCTGGTCACGATGCCCACGAAGGCGAAAAAGGCCTGTTTCTCCAACAACATCCCACAGTATAACATCATTATCTTTACTTCCAGATGCAAGCAAAGCCCCAGGCTTGTTATAACGTAAAACAGTCACTGCCCCCTTGTGGCCATTCAGTGTGGTCTCACAGGTTCCTTTCTCACTATCCCAAATTCTTATACTACCATCGGCATATCCAACCGCTACCTGCATTCAA